CATTTGCCGCTGAAGAGAATCCAGGATTTGTGCTTGGTGCAACTCGATGAGTCTCCAAATCGTTGGTCGCCATCCCACCACCGCTCCCGGCAACCTTGGGGTGCTACCAAGTATCAGGGACTTTTGGGGTTAGTAGTGGGGCCTTTATGCTCCATATAAGGTTTTCTTATATACACCTAACTTTCCTCCCCATTCGTTGGGCGCCACGTACGAAGCGGCCCACTCGGCTGAAGTGCCGGAGGGGAATACAACAAGGGGCATTACATGGGGAGCAATGAACCGCCCTGCAGGTGTAGAACAGGTCAACACGCACGGACAAACGAGCTTCCTTTGGTGTACGCTTAAGCACTGTACTTCGTTGTTGAAGTGTTCTGCTTGTCTACTGGTTGCCTACTAGAGCACGGCAAGGGGTCATGCGGCAAAGCCTGACGGACTTGCAAAACATCGGATGGAGTTTGCTAGACGCACAGACTCACTTCAGGAACAATATGGCCTATAGTACCCGTAAAGTGAGAAGAAGTCCAGACCAGTTTCTAGAGGCGTGTAGCTTCTGGAGGCCAGCCGCCAAGCAGGACGCAGTGAGCCCATACATGTGGAACTTGTCATCCAACGGCTCCGAATTCAGATACAGCACCGTATAGTGTTTAGCTGCAGAATTGAACGGTAACATTTCAGTCATAGCAAATTAGTTGGGTTTAGAACGTGGTGCTTAGTCTGTCTCTCTAACTTCGCTAGTGCTGTCACATGCACAAGTCAAGTAGAGAGGTACTCTAGTTTGCGAATGCTGGTAGGGAGTGCAGCTTTGTGCTGGTTTCCGGGGTACACTGATCTCTGTAAGGACCCCAGTGGGAAAGTCACATGATAAAACCTTTGTTGTTTAATCCACGAAGTCAAGTAATTCACCCATTTGCGGCGTAGGAATCTCTTATTTCTCTGCGGTTCTATGCAGCGGCTTGAAGCAGGAGCATGTGATCCACGTCCTCTGTTTTTACCCCTGCTAGACTGCGTTCAAGCTTCTCTAATCGAGGTTGTTGAACGTTGAACCGTGCCTTTTCTAAGAAGTTATTCCCTTTCTCAGTAGTTTTCCTCTCCAAGGTAGATGGGTGTCCTATTCCCCCGACCAGGGTCTGGGGCGGCTCTAGAAGTGATATTGGTGCAATGTGATGTGCGCCAGGCAGGTGGTCACCTTGGCGGAAACTCCTACAGGGCACATCAGAATACAACTTCTTGTGTCGACTGCTCCTCGGGCTGTAACTGGTTCTAGTCGCCCCAGTATTTGTTCTCTGTGCCACGTCTCGTATGGAATGCCTGCATTTCTCCTCTGTTTTCGGCAGGACATTTGCATCGCATTGGTGCCTCCTCTCCACTGCCTTCTTGGGACACTCCTTAAACTCGTCTTACCGTAGAGGGTGTAGATGCCTTTGGGGTGGCTGAGGGGTGCATTTCCTATGACACATACGCCTCGAAAGTGCCGCCAGGACGGTGTATCAACGCCCCCCATGGTATGCCTAGGATTACACAGTAGACTAATGAACTTCACAGAAACCTATTAGGAGTGGGGCCACTGACTCCTGCACAGTACTTGGATAAAGGAGTTGAATGTGGCAAAGCGCCATCGGTGTCATTTTGGCGAGAAGTAAAGTGAGGCATGCTCCAGATGCTCCCGTTTTGAGACGAGAAGCATGCAGTGGGTGGGTATCGCGGTTGCATGACTAAACACACCCTACAAACAACTATTCACGCATGCGCATAAAGGCACGATTTTTGTTTTGAAGTGAATTATTTTATAAGCCCAGTGAATCGTTAAATGCTTGACAGCAATGCTCCACCACTGGTGAAAAGAATTGCAGACTATGAGTGCAAGCTGCTATTTTGCACATCATTAAAGCTTCTTTCATAATGACATTATTATTGGATTACATCATGGCCTTCCTCATTCGGCTATAAAGTGACATGGCCCCTGTGTTCAAGCCTCTAGGCACTATACAGAAGAAGAACCCTGGTTGAAATTGACCCTAAAGAGGGGAAAATTCGATTGAAAATATCATAGGATTTCCGTTGCTTATAATGGGGGGTGAACTAGTGGTGGACGCTGCCCAATGTTTTTATTTACGGTGCGTTCACACTCCTGCCTCCGACCTGGCTCAGGTCGATTATCGCAAATGATCACCGTTCTAATTGTCTTGTGGGTATTGTGCATGAAATTTGCAGACACAAACGATGCTGGACTCTGCCCAAAGATCCACTAGAGCTCAGCGGAACGATATGTTAAGGGACACTTTTGCATCACGACACAGCACAGCAACACAGCGTAGTAACCGGCGAACCACGGTGTTGCATGGCATCTTATACTATACACAACTTGATCATTAAAGCAGCGGTAAAACCATCTCACTACAGATCACATATGGGCCTGTCTGCAACGCACTGCACAGCCCAAGAACAGCACCTGCAAGATGACCCGCTCCGGGTATCTGAAAAGTGAGCAGCTCTGATTGCACAGACAGGTCAACTTGTTGCGATTGAGCTGAATTCACGTGTGACAGCCCTTTGGCAGTAATAGCGGCTTCTTTAACTGGGTTCTCCGCAAAGTGGGCTGAACCCTTTGGCTTTATGGCTTGGTCGTTAGGTCGTCCACAATGAGGTTGAGGTTTTGTTTTCTACCAAGGGAGGTTAAGCCTTTCGCGCTCCTTTGGCTTGCTTATAGTTGCCACTTTGTGTCACCTAACTTTGTACCTGGACCAGCCCTTCGCGCTCCTCTGGCTTGCTTATAGTTGCCACTTTGTGTCACCTAACTTTGTACCTGCAATGCCTACCTTTGGCACAACGCCGAAACTACTTGAAAATTCACTGGCCCCTACAAGCAAGCCATTGGACTGCTGCATGGAAGTGCGAACATCAAGCGTATTAGTAGAGGAATGAGCTCTCAAAGGTGGTCTATGAGATGCTTATGCGGGCGGAACTGCAGCTACAGCAAAACAGGGAAAAACAAAATTAGTCTAATCATTAATGCATACAACAAAGTGCTTAGATGGTCTCGAGGCTGGATATCACACATTTTTGTGTTGTACAACGACACCAAAGCCGGCCGCTTGATGTAAAGACAAAGAGGAGGTTGGTCAGAGAGTGTGGATTTGGGTAACATTGTCAGTGCACAAAAAGTGCTGCTTGAATTTTCCCTCATGTAGAAGTAACCCAAGAGGCAATCACTGTTAGGAGACGTACATGGTGCTCCGACGCATCATGTCCATGAACTCGTCAAAGTCTATCTGCAGCGCACGCAGACGGCGGGGTTGTTGTCCATCCTCCATTCTTTTCATGCTTTACAGCTAAAGAGGCACACCAGCTTTGTTTCGAAGGGTTGCTCTACAAGCATGGTCTAGGTTGTGCTGGCACCCCTCTTATGGGTGCCATGAAATTGCCTTCTAAAGGCTTTCCTCTTGCAAGAAGAGAGATCCTACGAGCACACGTGACTTCAATTACGACCATCCCTAGGTCCACAATTATGTTTGGTCTACTGGAGCTGGTTCAGTACCAACACAACGAACCTCTCCGTCTCCATTCCTGTCCACTTCACGAATAATACTCTTGATCTGCTGCATTTGATGGTGTTTTTCTTGGGGAGATAGAATGTTTCCGGCTCCTTTTTGGCCTTCTCGCTGAGCATCATCTTCCATTGGAGTTGCTGAATACGGGGCAGCGTTCCCGTTGCCAGGAGAAGCAGGAGATGGGAATACGGACTGTACATCTGTGTTCAGTAGGACATGTGCTAGGTCCTGAGCGGAGATTCGGCCGTTCCCATCCAAGTCAAAGACTCGAAACGCTGCCCAACACACGTCTTCCTGTGACAACGCAGAAATCCGGCTCTTGTTCGCCCGAGAATTGTGGAGAAGGAAGCTTAGTGAATATAGACGTACCTCACACAACTATCAGGTGCCAGAAGTGCAGACGTCCTAAGGCACAAGGAGAGTTCAGAGGGAGAGATCCGCACCCTGCCTTCTGGCTAATATACGACTAGGAAGCTAAAGCCAACTCCATTAAGGTGTAGGCCTTCCAAAAACACACCAAGTTACCTACCTGTATGTATTGGCGCTTATCAAGAGTGGCAGCCACGAACTCAGTATAGTCTATTACGCCTGAACCATCGGAGTCTACGTCATTCATCAACTGTTCAAGGTCGCTAGGAATATCTTTCATTCCTGCCTTTTTAAGTCCAGCTGCGTGTACAAACACGTAAACAGCTTAGCACTAAGCAGGGCTAGCGATGGTCTGCTGAGTTCAACGTAACAACTTTCCGTATAGTATGTTCACTACTTTGAGGTCAGGCTGCTGTACCATGATTCTGTCGGTTTTGTTGTCGTGCTGTACGATTTCGTCCTAATGAAGTGCGGAGAAACTATTCACCAAGCAAGTTCGGAAAGTTCAGATACTTACTTCGCAACTCTTGAAGTGTAATGCTTCCGTCACCATCCTCGTCCAGTGCTGAAAACAAAATGCTGCACCAATTGGGCTAGCTGGTGGCTATCCCAAATGCAACGTGATCTATAGTTCATCTATATTCAACTGATAGAGCAACCGTTTTAAGAAACTTGAAAGTACTCTGCGTGCAAAAAAGCAATTTGTGTGACCTCCGATGCACCAAGAAATGTATGGGTCAGGAGCTCGATCTGCGTCTCGTTCATTTGTTGTGCAATAATTGTGAGCGCTGCCTTCTTCAATTTGCACAGAGCTTGGAAAGCCTGCAAACAGGCCAGTCGACACCTGGACACCTGGAAGGGGCACGGATTCACGTTTCGACCACATTTGTGACCCACTCACATCTACGGTATCAAGTTTGCTATCGAACCTGAGATGCTACGGGTTTTGCCAAGTGTACAGTGCAATGCGCTCGCCAACGACTGCATGCCAAGGGAGCACCATCGCTCATAAAGCAGCTTTTTAGCATTGAGCCAGATGGTTCGCCTACCCTGAAATGATCCAGCATTGTACGGCTGAATGGGGCATCTGCTGCAGGATTGGGAGCAGAAGAGAAGTGCTTAATCCATGGATGATTTAGAGCCTGCTCGGCTGAAAGTCGTTCTGCAGCGCAACGCTGCACCCCAGCAAATAGATGTTCAGCAACCTTTAGACATGCCACTTTTGTTCTATGCACTGCAATACAATGCATACTGCTTTCTGCTGAGAACACACCTTGCGAAGAGTGTCGATATTTGTGGCTGAACGTGCCCGCAGCCCTGTCACCAGTGCCATTTCGTAGATAAACCCTTTAATTCAACATGCGAATCGTGCACTGGAGTGGTCATGCGAACATGCACTGTTCTGCAGGATAGTTGCACAAAGGCGAAACCCTGCTGCAAGTGCTTACGGTGGGGATCGAAAGCCATAAGCTTCCTAACGAGGTCCTTTGCTTCATTTGAGACGCCCTTCCAATCATGCTCGTTAAACTTATACCTTCCAACTTTAACGCGAGCAAGAATTTCGGCGTCGTTCTCCCCGTGGAATGGGGGATAGCCGCAAAGGAGAATGTACAATATGACCCCAGCTGACCACATGTCACACTTGTAGGTGTATTTGCCTTGTAGCACCTGTGGAGCTACGTAGAATGGCGTGCCCGCTCGGGTGGACATGTATGAGTTATTACTGAAGCGAGTTGCCAGGCCAAAGTCTGTAGACAAAACAAGACGTGCCTAAAGAAACAGCTTGCTCAGAGACAGAGGCAACTTTCCGAACATTTTCTTTGCTCTCAGTAGATGTTGTTGCACGCGATCCCGCATTAAACGTTAGGCGCTGCGCAAGGCAGTGCCAACTCTATTCGAATTTGTCCCAGGCAGTGTACATTCTACCTGATAGTCAGTTGACTCGTCAGGACGCAGCAGTATCCAGCTGCGGCTGATTTATGCTTAGCCTTTCTCCTGTGTTGCACTATGCTTGAGGTCCGGATACTATAAGGCCTTTGCAGTGTGCCGTCATGCCTGCCCGCTGTGGTGCTACCATACGAAGAGCCTAGTGGTTAGGAAGGAACTACACATGTTCGTACCAATAATTTTAAAAGGGGCATCCTTGCCCTTGTCGAGAAACATGAAGTTTTCTGGCTTGAGATCCCTGTGTACAATACCATGTTTGTGCAAGTAGAATAGGGCTGCCAGAATGCACCTCATGAGCGAGCAAGCGTATGCCTCTGAAAAATACCCCTGCTCTATGATGCGATCGAAAAGCTCTCCACCTCTGCACAACTCCATCACGAGGTACACATTTTTGTGGTCTTCAAAAGTTTCAAAAAGCTTTCTGGGCGCAAAAGAACGAACACAGTTTCTGGTGGTGGATTTGAAGGCAATGGCCCGAACAGATCCATTTTCATTCTCAAACCGTAGGTAGATCGTGCTTCTCCAGGAATCTACATTGTAGGATGTATCATATTACACTCGTTTGGGGATATTTGGCGTTTTGCACTGCAAGTTATTAGAACATGGGTTCTATGTATCTCTTTTCCGGCGACATGACCACTACAGCTAGACAGAGTGGTTATTCGTCGTATTTTGCCTCGCGGCTCCCAATTTGATGTTATTTGGCCCCAAGAAACCGTCTCCAAAACAAGTGGTCTCTAGTTGAAAGTGGCAATCCCAAGCGTTCTAGCAAAGCATATTAGCACAGCATTATTCGCTCCCACGGGCTCTTCATTGCGATAAACGCAACAGTGCTGTCAGTTGCTAAAGCTTGATCTGAGCTAGCACTGACTGCTGTGGCTTGAAAATATCCACGTTGGTATCCAGGATAACTCTTCAACGACTTCCTGGAGTGCATTTGCATTGGCTTGATGGTACAGCAGGTGAAGGACTAACATGATGTTGGGATGATCCAGGGACTTCATAATTGATATTTCTTGCTTAAATCTTTTGACATTTCGAACCTTGCTCTTGCTGATTGTTTTTACAGCCCTCACTGTCTTCGTCGACTTGTTGACAGCTCTACAGACACTGCCGTATGTACCTTGACCAAGCTTTCTCGGCTCAACGTCGTAAGAATCAGTGAGGGGACCGACAAAGGACAGAATAAACCCCTCTCTCTTGAATTTCCATGGTGCTGCGTCACCTCCGCTGTGCGGTGGACGGTTATCGGCTGGACGGTCATGATGCTGAGCGCCGCGCTCTAATGCAACGTAGTCAGAGTGCGGTACTACAGCAGTGGATGCATTGCCACACGCTCGACCGTTTCGAGAAACTGGAGCCTTAAGATGTGCACCTACGCAGCACGAAAGAGGAGCGTTTACCGTAGCGTGGGCTCCAGTTGAGCTATCTTGATACAAGCCGCCCGTATGGCCTGAATCGTTATTTGCATGGCCTGAGGGGTCATGCTCTTGGCGGCCTTCTGCATGCTCATTAGGTGCCCCACGAGGGCACAGGCAGGTAGAAATTCCGTGCATATCTAGCTAAGGAAGAGCGATAGCCGGCCGGTGCTCGCCGTTTACGAACGCCTAGGCCGATACGACGGCGCTGGAATTGCAACTACTATTTGGCTGTGCCTTTCCAGTCAACGCCAGGTTAGTAAACCTCTAAATCACCTATGCAAACTAGATTGCTGCTGAATTGAACGGGTCGATATTTTTGAGAAGGTTTGTGGTGCGATAGTCTCTAAGCAGGGAGACGCCCGAGAGCAGCCAACAAGCTGAAGGTTGGTTGTGGAAGGATCGAATTAATACCATTAAAAAACGAAAAATCCGATATCACGTCTTGAAGCCCTCTCGGAAGAGCAATAGCAAGAGGCTCATCTGGTCCCTCAGGGGCTCACAGGGCGATCAGTCCCATATGCTGTTACACGGGCTCACAGGCGATATACCTACAACTATAGAGGAGACAACATAGTATTTCGATGATCTCTTTTTAAAAATTCAATGATAGGCAGTTACGTATGTTGTGAACTACTTTGTAGGGGCCTGTATTCCTCAATGCATAAGCGGGGCTGGCTGCCAAATGCATGCACTGCCTCACGGGGCTGGATTCTAGGTGCATCTGCTCGCGCAATCGCAGACTCCAAAGGCATCTACCAAGGATACCGCCGCAAAAAATCAACTAAACATCCGCTCGCTTGCAATCTTGGGCGTGCTTTTTGTATTGTATCCCACTTCATATATAAGGTTGGTTGACGTAAAAGCAGTGCACACCAGGGGAAGCATTTTAACCACTTCTGGGAAGTTGTTGAGCTGAGCTTCTTTAATCAGTGATGAACAGTACTGAACGCCAGGGAAGTGTTTGAGCTGAGCTTCTTTAATCAGTAATGAACAGTACTGAGCGTCATGCTACATGAAGGTAATGTTAATGGCATGCACGATGTTGCAGTCCAATGACGCCTGATGTCCGAGGCCGCCACATGCGTTAAGGCTGGGATACTTGTGGGAGGTGTGTACGAAGACACTAGAAACCCTCAAGTTCTGCATTAACGCAGTTCTGAATGGCAATTCCGATTACTTGCATGCCTGTGTGCTCTCTCTCATACGTTACACTACTTCGGCACCCCAAGCCTTCAGATTCCTTCTGGGGCAATCCAGTGCTTCAGAAGCAGATTTCTGTGAGAGTCGTAGTTTTTACAGCAAGTCTCCATGCCATTTAATGAACCCAACCAGAGTTGGCCCAAATTTTTCGACTCCACGCAAATCTGCACGTGCCTATGTGCCTTTACAGTCGTGGTCCCCTCGTGTGACGACTGTAGCCCGTCTGTTCCTAAGGATGGCGCATCTTAAGGGATATATTAGATTATGGTGCCCATCTCATCTTTGTCAGTTGCTGCAGGATGCTTCTCCTTCAAGTGAAACAACCACACTCTACGCAACATGCATCTTATAGGGAATGCTCTTCGTTGGGCAATGGTGTTAGCCGCTAGAAAAAGCCCTCCACCGCTTGGTAGAAACCTTTGAGCCTCATGCATATGTAATACCTTCATACACTTCAACCTACATGCTACCTTCATACATGTATATAATATGCCCCCACACTAGCGGCAACCAGTCAGCGACGATGGCTCTAGGTTTCCCGACAACTTTGTCGTGTGCTTTAATCCTAGGAAAGAGAGTTTTGGTCCCCACAGTCATGTAAAGCAACCACGTGCCATATTCGAGAGGCTGGACGCCTTGGTGGAGCGGTAGGCATCCCGCACATGGTGGGACTCTTAGCTACCTAAAAGCTTTGTCGATATAATGTTGGAACAACACGAGTGAGGGGGCTCATGAAAGTAGCACGCGTACCTCAGGATAAGACTCCTCGCTGAGGGAATACGAGGGAATACAGTTTTTGCTGAACAGACAGGGAACATTTGAGATTTTTCCATTTTGTCAATTCCCTAACGCGTTGTGCATGGTAGGTTCTAATATCATCTGCACTCTAGTGTGGAAAGCTCAGCATATTGCTTACCAGAACTTGATCATTCGACAGCAAGGCGTTCAAAACTTTCCGCCGGTCAAACGCCAAAAACTCTTCAAGAGAAAGCCCCTCAAATTCTCCTGAAGCAGCCCTACATAGACGCCTCGCCTGGTTCTGCTTCTCAAAGCATATCGTTGTGCCGTCCTGGTGCAGCAGCTGCTCTTGACGACTATTTCTGAAGAGCGATCTTTGCGTGGAAAAATAAACCAGTGTACATCACCTCTCACCCAGTGAGCTTGGAGCCCCCCTCAGTTTTCTTTCCTTCCTGACATCATTAATGCACTCCAAGAAAAAGGATTCCAAGTCCCGCCGTCGTGAAAGGGCCTTTGAGGCCTCTACGAGGCTCGACCTATTAAGCAGACAGCACAGTATAGTTTCATGCCTGTTGAACCCAGAAAGATATGAAATCTGTGAGCAACATATTATTTCGACAACACCCGCTCACTAGAATGTGTATATACTTCTTAGTATCTTATTGAGAGAGCGTTCAGTATCAATCGGTCCACCCCTAGCTAACTTGTTTCGCGAGTTTTGTTTCGCTTCATTCTGAAGCCGGCGGTTTGCAGCAGCCAGACAGGAAACCTGTTTCTTCAGGCCCTCAATAATCCCCCTCAGCACATCTGGATTGTCAGACGAAGTATGCGCCATCGATTTCAAATCCAGCTGGCATGAAGAGATACTGGGGACGGTGGGGGCTGCCTTCTGCACTACTGCCGGCGGGTCAGTAGCTTTTGGAGAAGGGACGGCAGAGCCTTCCACCTCAGTCCATCCCTAACAGGAAAATGGTATGTATTTGTTTGGGTTATGACATTTCCAGGTAGTCTAGGTAATCACATAAAAGCTCGTAAGACTACAGCATATTACAATGGGGTGTTGTGCTGGGTGACGGTAATTACTTTTGACCTGCAAAGAATTGCAGAGCTTGCGAGGACCCTGCGTTTGGCCGCTTCTTAATTTACGTTTAGCCTTTTTTAGTTCTGCTTCCAGAAAGTCACGGTCTTCTCGTAAAGCGTCGGTTCGCGCACGCCAACTATGAAGCTCTCCCTTAAGTTTTTTGCAAACCTGGTCGTATAGACAAAGCATGTTGACGTTTGGTAGACATGTCAAGCGTGCCAATGATCTGATATAACAACGACACCATCAAGAGTTCTACGTGGTGTATAAAACTTTACTGCGCCAAGCATTCGCATGCAATGCAGCCCTCGCAACAGCTTCCGCAAAAGGATGAGTTACCTGGTCGAGTCTGACCGCTTCGTTTACAAACCATTGCAGTTCCCTCTGAAGTGTCTTAATCCTCATATCTCGTTCCAGTAGATTTTTCTGTTCGTCAGCACATGCTTGAAGGTTTTCCACATGCTTTTGTACCTTTGCCATGTGGGAGCGAAATGCAGCGAAGAATTCCTCTTCGTGCTGAGCCAGGAGAGCATTAACCCTTGATTCAAGCTCTTCAGTGGTTTTAGATAAAAGCGTGATTGCCTCTGGAAGGCTTCTAGACTGTTGCAGCTCCACCATTGTTTCTGTGTCGGCGCTTGCAGTATCAGCCTGATCCTCGTGGGCCAGAGCAGCTAGTTCAGTGGTGCCAATTTCTTCTACATTTTGAAGGGAGCCCTGGCATGGTGCAGAAACCACTTGATTATGTGTCAATTGTTCCTGTGACGTAATTCCGCTGTTGGTCTCCTCAGTGGAGGAGTTAAGAGGAGGAGCATCCGAAGATGCTGAACGTGCATTGGTAACTTTGTCTCCATCCAGTAGAAACGAGACATGACTAGGTCTTGCATCAGGCGAGTTCTGCTCTAAACCGTCTACTTTTGAGGGGTTTTCGTCTCCCTGAATTAGTTTTTCCTGTTTAGAAACAGGGGTTTCCACCACTTTGTCGCCGTCTACAAGCTCGCCAACGACGTTCATCTTCCCAATTCACTTGCCTCTACGAACGTGCTAATGCAGATACTCAATCACTGCATACCACTACTTCCGCTTCCTGCGCTTCCTGTGTACGGCTCTTGGCCGCTGACTCTCAGCGGGTGGGGCTGGCTTCCTTCTGCATGCATTGAACCATGGGGCTGGCTGCCAGATGCATGCGTTAACGGCATTTCAGCAGCACACCATAGTATTTTTTATTATGCGATGAATCGCCAAGGAAGGGGGTTCTCGATGACAAAGTTATGGTTGCGTTATGGACCAAAATGTGATATTGCGCTGTGTCTGCCCTCGGCGTAGTGCGACGGGCCGTATCGAAGGTAGGCAGTTGCAACTAGTTGTGGGGGGTGGCCCTCCACACACTTCATGCTGCAGGTAGCTAGCGTGTGATTCTTCCCACTATGAGCCTAGTACAGCATATCTCTAAACTGCCTGGAATAATTTGCTCACGGGCTGTTGGGAACTGCTGTTCTTGTAGAATAGTCTGTTTTGTACTGGCAATTGTGTCGGAAGTTGGTGGCTTCATTATGCAAGCGGAACGGAAGAAAAGCTGTCACCAATGGACAACAGTTTCATGTATACAGCCAAGTACTTAGGGTTGCACTGGCGCCCTCTTGCAATTTGTGTTGCAGGAAGGTGCGTTGAAATTTACGGCAGGTCGTGCCCCACATTTTCAAGTGTAACGAGAATCATCGGTCTCGTCATTCCAGAGCGTTGGGGGACTGCACTCTGGACGCCTGGGAACTGGGGAAGGTGGTTGGCCATACGCCTTACATCAGCTCTTATCGTAAGTATTTTGGCTCCCCTGCAGTTCTCAAAAGTCCCCGAAGAAGACCGAGGATTTGCGTTACACTTGGAACTGCAAGTGGCGAAGTGGCATGACTTACAGCGAGTCTTTCAGCGACTCAAAGTACAACATAGTCCCTTATCCAAGCCAATGCAAACAAGCGCTCTTCGCTACACGCATCAACACTACAAATCATTTTTGTGTAATGCTTGTAGACGATTTGCCTACTAACGCCTTGTAAGGGTCTACATGCCTAATTCAAATATATTTGCCAACACCAGACAGACAAAGTTACAGATGCCCCCTTCTGCAAGCGGCACACTCCTTCGTCTGCAAGGACTGCCCCTGAAGACAACCCTATTGTATTTTGGTTTCCTCCTGTCACTGCTTGGCGGAAGTGGACTTTAGCTGGTTCTGCTACTCCTCCCGTTCGGTTTTCCCTTAGCACCAGTTCCAATGTCTATCCCAGGACTTCCTTGCAGGCTGTGCTGAAGATCTTATGTTGCGGCAGCTGAGCAGCCGACCACGTGGTGCTGAATCGCCTGAGTCTGCCTTATCAGTTTGTTTGTTTTCCAGAACGAGGTGCCCAAACTCTTGCTTCAGCAACTCCTTAGCTGTTTGCATACGCCTGCAGTCTCGAACTCCGTGACTTTGTTTCTTGCCAAAGAAGCAGGTTCACCGCTCCACGCTTCCTCCTCACGGTTCGCTGTGTGACGAATAGCGCAGCTGCAGCTGATTTCCCCTTCTGAACCTCCTTTCTATGAGGCTGGCACTGAAATCTCCTGCATCCACCGTTAAATATCCAGATCGCTTACGAAACGGCTTGCTTGCTTGTTAGTTAAGGCAGTAGAAGGGACGGTTTCCGCTCGTCGGTGAGCATGTATCCCATCGTCTCGACAAAGCCAAGCCCGTAACGGCTTGCTTGCTTGTTAGTTAAGGCAGTAGAAGGGACGGTTTCCGCTCGTTGGTGAGCATGTATCCCATCGTCTCGATAAGGCCAAGCCCGTCACCTCTTACAGCCCTCTCTCCTGCCCAACTGGCCACCAATTTCCTTTTCCGTGTTGCAACGATGTTGCAATACAGCAATAAAGCAGTCCCGAGTCCACCGTTGGACGTTCGTTCACCAATGGATACTTCTCAGTGTAGCGTACTGCCGGTGGCTGCCGTTGATGAAGCGTGACCAACTCCGCCATGACCTGTTCCCTTCACAACCACGGAATAAACCTACATCGCAAGCTTTTCGGAAAGGTTCGGCACGCCAGGTGTGCTCCGTAACAGTAAAACGTTCTTAAACTTAGGCATCACTACTTCCACTTCTAATACTAAAGATGCCATTACCAGGTGTAGTTCTTCTGGCGATTGCTAGATGAAGAAAGCAAAACTCTAGCGGGTCACGAAAATCTTCCATTACCCGGCACTGCGATGACTGTCACACATAGGTCGTCACCAACAGAAGGAGCACTCTTCATGAGTAGTGCTGCGATGACCGTCACACATAGGTCGTCACCAACGGCAGGAGCACTCTTCATGAAGAGTTCTCCCGCCGTTGTTGAATTAGTTTTGCTGAAAAAGCATTTGCCGCTGAAGAGAATCCAGGATTTGTGCTTGGTGCAACTCGATGAGTCTCCAAATCGTTGGTCGCCATCCCACCACCGCTCCCG